TCCATCCTGAATGAGAACAACTTTTGGGAAAGCAAGGCAATGTGAAATTCAATGGAAACCTTAGCTCTACCCGTATCATTGTGAGAAAATTCTTCTATTAGTCCTTCATCACCTCAAACGAAACAGGTCGAAAACATCTAATATAACGGATTTATTTGTAGCCTCGAAACTCTACTTATATACGAAAAATCTAATAGATTGTACGAGGAGGTAAGGAATAGTATTGAACTGGAGGTGATCCCTCATTTTGACCATATAATTCCGCCAAAAAATGCTTATGCTTTTAGTAGGTTTTCTAGATCTTTATGTTGTAATAGTCGATTCGTTATGAAAGCCGCAAAAGGTGTACCAGTGGTAGTCATGATTAGGTCAAGTTAAATAGAAAAATGCTTGTTAATTTAAATGACAATAACACGTATATGCCCTTAATTAGAGATCCGACGGAAAGACCTAAGATAAGGCTAAAGGATGTCCTCAAGGTATGCGCAAGTAATGGTTCAATGGAGAAGTGAAAAATGAAAGATGTAAGGACCCCCACAGGTTACGGTCTCCCTGCGGTTCATAAGGAGGGTGTCCCTCTAAGATTAATTGTAGATAATAGAGGAAACGTGATGCGTAATATCTCACGTTTTTACGCATACAACTAAGGAAAACTGCCAATTTTTGGCTAAATTCCTATAAGTTTGTGAAATTGATTGATCAGCGGACATTTTCAGAGGTAGATAGGTCAGTAAGTTTTGATATTGTGTATATGTTCAAGAAGCTATTCAAACTCTGTTACAAACTCTGGAGGAGCATCCAGAGATAACACAACGAGTGAAGCGTGCATAATTAGACTAATTCACCTATCCACGAGTAGCACATATTTTACCTTTGTGCTAACCTCCAAATTGTTGGTTAGATCAATGAATGATTATTTTTGCTTATAAAGGAAGCTGGGTCATATGATAGAATGGTTTCAAACGAGTAGGCTTGCTGACTATGGTACGTGTGCTGTTAGAAGAAAGATAAGAGAGTCTATTGAAAATAAAATAGATTAGGGAATACTTTGAATGTGATGAACGATGGTAGAAAGTCGAGTAGGAATATATGCTTTATTGATAGAATGAAGAAGAGAGCGGGTGTAGAGCCGCCATCCAAATGAAGGCGACTCAATTTATCGGCTTAGTGATGTTTCTTGCTTCATAAACACCCAATCGTCCAACATGTTAGATTAAGCTCATCAACCAAACCTGAAGTCCCAGATTACGCAACCCTAGACATGCCTTCCCTTGGGTGGTTAAACATTAATGACCCTAGACTAAGAGGTTAATATAAGTGGCTTCGTAACTTGACTTACATGCTTACAAGCCAGCATCTCAGCCATACTTGCCCTTCATTCTATTGCCTTAAAATTGATCTCGTGTCCAGTCTGTGCGATGTGTTCCGCTATATCTGATCTTTCAGTATCCATTTTCCTGCAGAGCCTTTGAAGTTAATCGATTCGTATGTTATTATTTTGCCTGGTTCGTCAGTATATTTCTGTTCGCAGTCGCCTAATGATATACAGTAAACTCCTGAACAATCCTAATCGTCTACCCTTTCATGTTGTGTCGGTATAATTGTGAAAAGTGTTGATTATTTTTTCATGGCCACCCAAATATTCAATTTCCTCAATAATGGCAATAGTTTCTGAGTTAGTTCGCAGGAAGGTAGGCATATCCACTTTTGTCAATCCTTCTCCCTCCTTACTGTTCTTTCATAGTCCCCGTTTTGTCATCGGCTTTTTACGGCCAGTAGGCTTCTTTCTATTACTTCGCCTGGGTAGAGCCCACTTCGTCCGAAGTCCTCTGCCAACTCCACAGACTGATGCTGGGAATTATGATAATTACTATGGCAGAGGATTTCGGACAAGGTGCGTTCTATTGTGTCACCCTGACAACAAGACCAAGTTGTAACAACGAGGTCGACCCACTCCTATAAATCGAAAGGAGATTGCGAGCATACCGGGGCCACGCCATCTTGGTCTTCATATCTTTCCAAAATTAAGTTTCTAAGGAAGGATATGGAAATAGTGACGCGAAATATGCATTCTATTAAGGAGGTTTTGCATTCATGTAGATGTTCATATGTATGAAGCTTGATTTATTTTGCTTATAGAGCTACTCTTATTTGAGGGGACACATTGGATATCATAGATATAAAGCACGTGTTGTGGCCATATTTCATTTAATCAAGCAATTCTTTGAGTCCTTCATTCACCATCATCGGCACTCGATTAGCCTGGATATCCATTGTCACGATTTCAACTCATATTCCACTTACAACGTCGCAAGCATGCAAAATTACCCCACTTTTTATCAGCATATATCTTCATTTTATCTGCACAGTCCCCAGGCCTCAACTGTAGTGGTAAGGAATATAAATAAAGGACTTGGTCGGCATAGCCTCGTGGAAAGAGCTTCATTATAGTCTATTCTTTATTAATTTATAAGATTATGTAACATTCGATGCACAGCTATTGTAGATATGTCACTATGGTGGCCATTACATGTTTGCTCAAAATACACCTCCATTTTTTTCGTATTATTCAGCGATGGTTTTTTGTTAAGAAGCCGTCTCCTTAACTATTAGAGTACCATAACAGTCTTAGCCCTTATTACCTACTCTTAGCTTTTCTTGCGCAAGTTTTTAGCGTACTGCTGTCGTTTGCATAGCAAGTTTTAGTTTTTACAGCCTTTTTAGCTAATCTAATATAAATACTATTCGATAGATACAACACTTTAAGCTAGCAAGTAAAATCTAATGTTTGGCCTTCTTTGGCTCTTATTTTATAATGAGATGTATTTTATACATTAGGCATTTGTCTTGATGATTATTTTTAAAAATCTGGTTTACATGAATGCATTTATTGCATCCAGGTTTAGTGAAACAAAACGTATACATAAACAGTCGCGTTCCAATAAGTTACCTTGAAGGATGGGTATAAAGTAAAGCATTACTATAAAGGGGCCTAAAATTATGTGATGTTATGCCAATAAACCAGATTACCTTGTTCCTTCCCAATCGTTTTCGTACACGATAAATAAGCTCCAGAAAGCTGACAAGTAAAGCCATCACCATGCCAACGAATAGCATGACAAAGCAGCCACCAACTTGACCAACCCCGAGTGAGCTAGTGTCCGTACTTTTGGCAGGATTTAATTCAGAGCAAGGCGTTGTGATGTTATACCTTCGCCACCAGTAGCGACGTATCTCTTCGATTTCTTGAGACTTTTGCAGCTTCAGTATGCTTTCTGTGATAGCTTCAACATACTTCGATCCTAAATACGGGAAAGATTAGTAAATATTATATTGGCATACACGATTATTACAGTTTGATGGAATCCAGCACTTTGGTTATAGACATTATGAGCAAAACTTAAAATAGATTTTGAAAGTTTTGCATACGAATAATTTAAAAAGTATTCTTTTAGCACAAAAAATATTCAGGATATGGTAAGAACAGTAGAGCTTAAAGAGAAACAAATTATTGTCACTGACACTGAATCTCAGAAAGTAGGCTTGACTTCTAAATATTAAAATCTGTAAAGCAGGAAGTCTAGAATAATTTACAAAAATAGGCAAAAAATAAATTAAGTAAAGTACCGATTGCTTTGAATTTTGTTCAAATTTTCACAAGATGCAACGATGGGTAGTCACAAAATAACAACGGAATATTGTCGCTCATTGGCGCTAGTTTCCAACTCTTTCTCAATGATATGAAAAAAACTGGGTTTCGAGGAATTCCTCAGTGATATATGGCTTTCAATTACAAAGAAAAATATGGTTGGAAGCAATTCGTGATGTGATCTCACGGGAAACCAAAGGAGGATTGCCCCGTAGGGAAGACTGTTGAATTGTACGAAGAAGTCCTTGGCTCACCATTCTGAGAACCAGATAAACCAGTGCTAAGCTTTCATGTGTACTTTGACAGACATCCTCAAGAATCCATACTTTACGGAATAGAGCAAAAACATGGTAAATCAGGAGAGAAGATGGCCGGCTGCGACCAGGTCGCTTTTTTGCACACCTAACTCTCTGGCATACCATGATTTGGTTGGCTACTTCAAACTTACTCGACATAGTATGAAGACCGAGATGGTGTGGCCTTGTGTGGTCGCAGTCTCCTTTAGGTGCATAGAAGTAGTTTGACCTTGTTTTCGAGACTTGGTCATATTTGTAGGAAGAATTAGACGAATGCACCTAATCCGGAGTCCTTTGAATGCATGATAATTTCCAGAGCTGGACTGTGGACGTGGTACATTCCTAGAAGTTCCGCCAGCATTGTCAGTGAGTCTTGCTATTCTTAGCACCCACTACAACTCGTCAAAGCGCCAAGTAAAGCCGATCTTTTGACCAATTGTCTGCTAAACAATCGTGGTATCTCTATTTCATCTCTGGGCAAATCATCAATCCTATATCCTCGTATCACGTCTTTACTATCAGAATTTTTGCTTGCTTATTTAAATGTGTTTTGATGTGCCATTTTGAGCGGCTTTCATGAGAACTCTCCACATTTCACGCTTGCTTTCTCACCCCCTTTCACTCTTGTGTTGGAAATGCTGATCAGAGTCTGCTATATTGTTATGCAGTCCTCCTTTCCTAGGTCTTATCAGAGTCTCCCTCTTGCCCCATAGGATCCTTCTGCTATATCCCTGGTCAAAGTATTTCACTCGACCTCTGCCACCCCATCTGTACCACTCGAGGCGTTATTTACCACACTCTGCGTCTGGGAGACTTACTCGAGGCTAAAGCCACTGCGTAATTCTCATGGTCAAATCTTTGTTTCCTGGACCACATCTATGGTAAAATAGGCCAACTTTCAGCCAACTAGCTCTAGTCTCGGCCGCGTCTATCCTGTTTCTATCCCCAATACCAAGTCTATGACTTCATATGATCGAGTCTCTTGTGTGCCAACTAACAAAGAAAGCAGTGGAGACTAGAGCTAGTTTTTGACAGTAGGCCTGATTTCCATAGAAGTGGTCCATGAAGCAAAGGCTTGAACATGAGAATTACGCAGGGCTTTAGCCTCGAGTAGTACAGATAGGGTGGCAGGGTTTGAATGAAATCCTTAAACAAGGGAGATAGCAAATGGATCCTACGGGGCAAGAGGGAGACTCTGATAAGACTGATAAGATAAGGAGGACTGCGTAACAATATGGCAGACGCTGATAAACAATTCCAGCACAAGAGTCAATAAGGTGTGACCACGCCAGCGTAGAGTTTGAAGAGTTCTCATGAAAGCTGCTTAATAGGGCACACCATAACACATTTAAATAAGTAAGTAAAAAATTGTGATATTGAAGGCGTAATACTAGGATATAGGATTGGTGATTAGCGCAAGGCGGGAGAAAATATAACGATTGTTTAGCAGACAATTGGTCAAAGGATCGGCTTCACTTGTCTCTTTGAATTGTTGTGGTGTGGTGCTAAGAATGGTAAGAATCAATGAAGATGTGGGCGAAACGCTTGGGAATGTACCACGTCCACGATCCGACTTTGGAAATTATCATGCATACAATAAACTCTGGGCTAGGTGCGTTCTTCTAAGTCTTCCTATCAGAAAGTAGGTTTAAAGCCGTTTGCCTTCGCGTTTTTCGTGAATTACCGATAACCATGGTGTCCTGCTCTGACGATGTCTGTCACATGACGGACGAAAACTCAGCATCGATTCATCGGGGTCGCAGGGCGGAACGCCGAAGACCTATTCACACAAATATATAACCACAAATCCAAGGCAATCTGCCTACAGCCTCCGGTGGAACCAAATTACGTTTCCTTTCCACTCGCCTCTTCAAACGAAATGAAAAGTACTCCAACTTTAAGTGAATATGTGTTGGCCACATTTCGTCGCAATTTATTCTCTGGGTATTTACTTTCTTTAAGCGCATTTTGGGAGCATTGTTTTACATCTAACAGCGCATGACCAGCTTATTTAGCAAACGCACAGTTCCCACAGTAGCACCAGACTCAATTAAGTTGTATTTATTGCATCTATCAATGATTTTGTTATATTGCTTTTCTAGCTTCAATTCCTTAATGATAATTAGTTTGTCTGTCTTGGGTATTTCATTTTATCGTAATAATGATCTCACCGAGACATTCCTTTCATTATCTTTCTCGTTGCAGCCAAGAATAGCCCAGCAATACCTCAGGCCTCCAAACCTTGAGGGTGGAGTTTAGGCAAGGGACATCATCATTTATTCGACTGGACAGAACGTATACCTTTAGCTTTATAGTGTTCTACAAGGTCTATCTGGCGCTCCGATCAAGTTGCAAAAACAAGGTAGTACTAACACTAAGAAAACTCGCTTTATAGATGTCAAAGGCAATTGTAGAGCCATGAAAAAAACATCTGATTGGAGCATCAAATAGTAAAACAAGTTCTAGGTGAAATGCAGCTCCTTTAAGCGATATCGACTAAAATCTAATTGATGCGTCATTACCAGAAATGCACATGCTCTATAACTTTTTGGCATTTTGCCAGTATCGACCTATTTTAGCTAGTTTGTCATTAGACGCAAGCAATCATTATATTTACTCATGAAACAGACGAAGTAGAAACGTAATTTCATTATGGATACTTTCTGAGATAAATGGGAAGCCTCAATATTTATATCCTATTATTTCCGGAGTTCTCAGCTTCTTGATCTTGGAATACTCAGCCTGTCTATGGATTCCATCCGCTCAAATGAGAGTATTCACATTTATAAAAATTTCCAATAAAGTAGAATTTACAAACATATTGAGACCAAGATGGTGTGGTTCCCGATATGGTAGCAGTCTCCTTTCGATTTATATAATGGGTTGACTTTGTTGTCGCAACTTGTTCCTGTTGTCAGGGCGAATTAGTAGAATGCACCTTGCCGTAATTCATTTGCCATGGTAGTTATCATAATTCCCAACATCAGGCAGTGAACTTGGTACATTTTCAGATGTTTCGCTGGCGTCGTAGTCGTCACCATCAGTGAGTGCTGCCATACTCCGCATCAAGCTACGAAGTCGTCAAAGAGACAAGTGAAGTCAATCCCTCGACCAACATTCTGCCAAAAACGGTTACACTATCACTTCTCTTTCTGTCTTGGCCCATCTATCAGCTCTTTACCCTTTTATCCACTTTAATAAATCGAAAGAAGACAGTGACCATACCAGGGACCACACCATCTTGGTCTTCAAATCTTCGATTAAACTATCGTAGTAAAATTGCAGAAAATGCACTGAAATCAGCCGGACAAAGAAGACAATCGTAAGTCAGTCTTGCCATCTGACCTTTTGAAATGGTTGTAAACGTTATGGTATCACTCCTAAGTTTTGTAACCTTAAGAGACCCTAACATTAGGATAAGCTTTATGAGTATCTCCACCAGGCTTCTATTCACAAAGTAAGTGATACTTATTATGAAGAGAAGAATAAGCTACTTCAGTTTATAGAGATTGAGTCAAAGCTCCGGCGTGATCTGGCCAGGATTCTGACTCCGGAACACTTTCAAAAACTTCAGGGAATGACCAACATGATATAACGTAGGATCTCTGACTTAATAACAAGACGACAAGACGATAAATTGCGTAAGTTAGGGATTATAAGACAGCCTAAGTTAAAACCAGTACGCCCAGTTAAAGTGGCTGATCAGCACGGCGATCGGAAGAAACTATTGAACTTACCATCATTTCCTCTCAATTCCGAATGACGGATAAAGGAGGAGCGATAGTGGTAATGGACAAAAAACAATATACCGAGGAGATGGAACATATTCTACGAGATAGGACCACATATCGTACATTAAACAAGGACCCAACTATGAAGATAAATGGAATCTTAAGTGACATGCTGAAAGATATGCATTATAACAGGGAAATTGACGCGTCGACAAAAAATTCAACCTACGGATTACCGAAGATGCACAAAGAAGGCGAGCCACTAAGGCTGATAGTCAACAAAAAGTAAGGAGCAACACACAAATTAGCAAAGTTTATATGTTTGAAACTCAGGAAATTAAATGAGAGGCTATCAAACATGGTGAAACATTGTTATTAATTTTCTCAAAAAATCAAAAACATGGCATTGGAAGAAACAGATTTATTGATAAATTGCGATGTGGATTCCGTGTTTACAAGTATCTTTGGAGAAAATTCGCTA